GGTTCATTAAGCTATTATTGTGTGGTATTAACTATCTTAGACTGTCTAAATCTAAACTCTCTAGATGTGATTATCGGAAATGAAAAAGTTGCTCCCTTCCAAGACTAAATATTAAAGACTTTGTCTTGAAAGATTTCGGCCAGCCTACATTCAGACTGTCACCTGAATGATCCTGTGGTCTTAAGAGTTAAAAAATTTTTTTTTTTTTTTAGAAAAAAGAGAGAAATAATAAAGGTAGTTGAAAAGTTTGTTCTGGTAAATAAAAACCCTTCAGTATCAACTTTAATTCATTAGGATAAATCTTTTACCACCATCTGCAGCTAGGCAAATCATTTAATTTCCACTATTCTATTGCTGACCAAGAACATTCAAGGTACTTATAACAAGTCTTATACCTATAAGAAATTATTGCTTGAAACAAGACTTATACCTTAGGGAATTGTTGCTTAATGCCTTCTCGGGATAATTAATAGTAGAGGAAGCTTGTTACTGGATTGGGATAAGACTTCTTTTAATTCCAAAGAGAAAAGAAACCAGTCCAAGAGAAAAGGGGAATCACCATAACGCTTCTTGACAAAAAGAATGCCTCGTCACCTTGCTTCTTTCACTGTATCCAATTGTATTATCAGGTTTTATGTTATATGAGATAGGGCACGTGAGAGTTACATATCTTGTTTACATTTCTTGCTACGTGTAGATTAATCAATTCAATAGTAATTAATTTAGTAAAAAAAATAATCATTAGATAATTCTATAGAAATTAATTTTATTACTTAAAAAGTCAATAATAAGTATTCAAAATTCAAGCCAATTACCATTCAAGGATTCCAGTGTAACCAAAAATTCTGGGTCAAACTGAGGTAGGCAAAATTTCCCAGAAAAACCAGAAAAAAGTTTACATGCTTGAAAAGATAGGAGGAAGCTTGAGAAAGATGAAAAAAGAGTTCCAAAAACTGTGCCAGTCTTTTCTAAAGTCTTGAATCTCTGGAAAAAGAGAGGAGGGTATTTTTTCTATAAGTTCTTTTTCCTAGCGAAGTTTTCTTGCCTTTAATTTTATAGGTAAATATTTCTTGTATTTACTTGCAGAAATACAAGAAGTTTATGTTAAAAAGAGAAAGAAACAAGTGGGGAAGACTATTGTCTCTTGATATAAGTGTTGTTAATGAAAGTGTATAGACTTTATTATAAAGAAATATAAAATTTCCTTGAAACATATGTTTTTTTGTGTTGGCAAAAGAATTAGCTTTAATAATTATAAATATTATTCTTATATTAATTCTTAATATAATAAATTTATTCTTACTGAATTTTTTGCTTGTCTCAATTAAATTTTTTCAATTATCTTTTTGATATATAATACAAAAAATCAAAATTAGTTCTACTTTTATAAATAATTAATGCAAACTTATCAATTAATCAAAATTTAATAAATATATCTTATAATAATTAAATTAATTTAAATCTGTTTATAATAACAACAACAACAATATTCAATAAAAACATTTCAATAGTTTTTTTATCAAGATATTATTAACAATATTAATATTACAGTTATATAAAAATACTAAGCTTTTATATATCTTATTCAGTTCTTAAACAATTGTTATATGGTTTTATAATTATAGCAATATATTCAAAATCCAATTAAACTTTTTCAAATTAAAAAAGCTATTATAATAGTTTTACAGATCTAGATAATATATTCTAAACCAATCATAAAAATTATTATTTTTTAAATTATAATGCAAGTAAATTTGTTAGTATATTTAAAATTTAAATAAGTTTTAATAAAATTTTAATAAAATTAACTTTATTAAGTAAAATATCAAAATTTTATTAAAAATTTTTAAAATAAATAACTTAAAACTTTGTGTTTAAAATTTAAATATATAAAATTATATAAAATTTAATATATGTTTAAAGCAAAAAAATTTTTATTTTTAATATAAGTTAAAATTTTTATAATCAAATTATTAAAATTGTAATAATTAAAGTTATTTATTTACAAATAATTCTACAAAACTGATTATTAATTATATAAACTTTAACTTATAAAATTTTTAAGTTTGTTTAAGATTAACTTTTATTAAAAATTTTTTTTTTAAAAATTATAATTTTTGCTTATTATTAAACTCTAAATTTTTATTAATAAATAATATATAATTAAAACTAATATTATAAAATTTTTTAGAAAAATATCTTAATTATTTAAAAAAATAAATGAAAAACAACTTTTTAGTTAAAAAATATAAAATGTTATAAAAAAAAATATCCTATTATTTAAGAAATATAATTTTTATTTCATATAGTCACCTAATTAACTGTATCAATAAGCTCTGCACTATGAAAGAGATTAGACTAACCTTATGTAAGCAGACCAGCACCCCGACATTCCAGGAGAACAACAACATTATTTCAATTGATAATATCCTAGCAGTTGACAACTATATAACTAGCCTTAGAATTAAAAACACTTGGAATATAGGACCAACACACTGGATTAAAAAAGTTCAACAAATATATAGAATGGTAGATCTCACCAATAGCTCAACTGTCAAAGAAAGATGAAACCAGGCACCTGATTTGGAATCCCTCCAAACACTTTACTTAGCTAATAAGATTCTCATTAAAAAGAACAAGCTCAGCTACTTATCCCTGCTAGCATTTAGATACAAAATACTTAACGATTCTTTTTCTACAAGACAAATATTATATGAGAGATATTCAGACCTATACAAAGATAACCTTTGCCCCAGATGCCTAGTTGCATCCAAGACACAAAGACATGTATTCGAATGCTATAAAAATATATCAGTGTTTGTTGAAATCGAAAACAAAATCATAAACAAAATTAAAAAACTCCTACCTAAAAGCAAATCCAAAACAATAGCAGCAGAATCAGTTCGCCAACTACAAACTCCGATTATCAATAGAAAGTCAAATCTTGAAGGCTTAGCATGCAGAATGTTGACCCTCAGAACCCAGCTTTTAAAAAAAGCATAAGTCAAGCTAGCAAACTTTACCCTTAAACTTTTATATACAATAGTATAGATATCTAGATCAGCAATAGCAAATATCTCAATAATATCTGGTATCAAATAAAAAAAATCTACCCCGAAATCCACAATTACCAAACCAAAAGAATCACCTGTTGTGCAACCAGACTTATTTGACAAAATTATCACACACTCCAACTCACAACAAATAGATCAAATGAACATACTAAAGTCCCAAGACCTCATTTTAATTCTGGAAGGACATTAACCATTCAGCACTAATGCTAATCCAATCTATATTAAGTTTAAGAAGAATCGCTTTAGTTAGCATTGTAGATAGGTTAACATTAATTTGGAAAAATATTCTGTAAAGATGTTTGATATAACTCCTGTATTATACATATACAATTTAATAAAAACTTGTATCTAATGTCCTTTTACAATATATAAAAAAAAAAAAAAAAAAAAAAAGAAATACCAATTCTAATTAGGACTTGAAAACCAACCTGTATAAATTAGCAGTAACACCTTTATATAATTTTGAAATTTTTGTTTTTCTATATTTCTTGAATAATGTTAAAGAAGTACAGAAGTATAACCTTTTTATAAGAGCCTTGTATTAAACTTTTTCTAGTAAAGAGAGATATATATTGTGTTATAAATATTGTATTTTGTTTTGCAAGTAAAAAACAATAATTAAATAAAGTATAATAGTTATTTGCTTTTTTTAAATAATAGTAATAATAACAATAGTAAATTTTTTGTTAATTTTGTTATTAAATTAAAATAAAAATATTTTAAAAAGTTTTATTATTTTTTTTATAATAAAACAAATATATTTTAACAATATAATTTTTAAATAAACTTTATAAATAAATACAAAAAAAAAACTTGTATATGAAATCAAAGACAAAAATATTTTGTTAAAAAAATATATATTGAAATATATATATACAGTATATATTTAGAAAATTTTAAAACTTTAGAAAAGATAGTTATTTAATTTTGGAATGTATTTTAACTCTTTTTAATTTTTTTTATTATTTTTTCAAGTACATAAACTTATTTTTTTAAAAAAAAGATTTTATTTATTTATTTTAATTTAAGTTTGAATTTTTGATTATATCAGAACTTTTAAATAATAATTAATTAAAAATTTAAATTGATTAATTAATATATGTCAAAAATGTAAACAAGACATAATTTTTATATGTTTCGTATTATATAGAATTTCATATAATATAACATTACTATAAAATAAATTTATTATTTATATTTTCAACTTTTTAAGTTTTTATACAATTAAAAAAAATTTTTTTTTTGGTTTATTATCTTTATTGAAAGGGTAATAATACTTTAGAACAAAATTAACACAGATAGTTTTTTTTTGGCTTCAAGTTTTCAAGAAATATATTTACAATGTTTTATAAAAAGTGTAAGGAGAGTTTTATCTTAACAAAAAAAAGTTAATTATTATATAAAAATGTGTCAAATAATTTTTACTTTAAATTTTAGTAAATCGTTATTTCTTTATATTTTGAAAAACATATCGATATCATAAATTTCATATCTTTTGATAAGGAGAATATAAAATTAAACCAAATTTTAGTATTTTTAATTTAAATATACAGTATATATATTATATATATTTTTACAAACTTATTCGCATTTAATTTGATAAAATAATTGTTAATGAAATATGAAATTACGTATATACAGTGTATATATCCTCAAAATATAATTAAGAACATAATCAAATTTGAAATAAATTATTGCATATGTTTAATATATGCACTATATTTGTTTAAGTGGTGTATATACAATATGCTGTATACAGCATGCATGCATTTTTATCATATTTTAATATGTTTTTCAAGTGTGTTTACATACAGTGTATATACAGTAACATACAGTATAACCCAGCGTGGAATGAGATCCGAGCTCTGCACATTAACAACTTTATACGTTAAGTAAAATTGACTTGTGTACTACCAATCACGCATATCATTTAGTGGGATAATGGAAGAAAGATAAAGCTATGATGGCGTATGTGGCTAGCAACATGGCACCTTCCAACCAATTGGATTTTCCATCCTAAAAAATAGGAAAGAAATGATTATTGCAATGATTTTAATTAGGAATGCAGTCAAGATAAATTATATACCAGAATGAGATAGTTCGTTATCAAAACTGAAATGAAGAAAACAACAGTTTCGAATAACTGGAAGTGTAAGGTGAAATCTTGTCCTATTGTCCACCCAAACAACACAAGGATTGGTGTAATAAAAAGTGCGATTTGCTAAATAAGGTTGTAAAAAAAATGTTGGTGTTTGGATTTTTTACGAAAAAGTATACTGTACATATCATACATAATCACATATCATTTACCATTGAACTACCAGATGCAATTCTGATAGCAAAATCCATCTTATTTCTTGCCGCGGCATTGATAGACGTCGTAAACTTTTGGAATGAATACAAGTTAGTTTAAATTAAGAAATATTGACAACTCGTAGGGGTACCAACAGTTACCTCGGCAGCATTACCAATAATAGGTAATAAAACCATACCGATGAAGGTTTTGCTTAATCCAGAAGATTGAACAATTCCTTCAATCGATCCAACCAAATATTCGGAAAGAAAAGCCACTACAACGGTTACAGCAACAAATAATGACAACAATACACTCAGAGACAATTGAGCCTCCTCCTCTTCTTCTTCCATGTGGTATAAATTCGCGTGGGTTTTTAACTAGCAAATCAAAAGTGAAAATTTTGTATTTCCGTGAAAAAGGGGAGAAAAAAAAAATCCAACCTGGAAGATATATTTTCACTTACTTGAAAGTAAAGATAAAGAATATAGATCAACAATAGGACTATCGCCGTCCCATGAGATAAATCTACAAGTTCTTTGATGATTTGACCGCCAACAGTGTTTAAATTGTCATTAACAGAGATGGTAAAAGCTGCGGGAACGACCAAGCCAATACACGCTAAAGTCATTAAACTTGAGGTTGTTTGGGAAGTAGTCTGATTAAACACTTGTTGTTTGTAAAATGTTCCACCTACAACAAAACATATTCCTGTCACAAACAATAAATTTGAGATAATCGCACCAAGTATCGATGCTTGAACCACGCGAATTTCTCCCTGCGTCAATGCTATTATGGAAATAATCAACTCTACCGCATTGCCAAAAGTAGCATTTAACAGGCAACCAATTGACTGGCCAACTCTCAGACTAATATCTACAGTTGCAAATTCATATAGTTTTGATAGTGGAAGTATAGCTAAAAAATTTAGAACGAAGACCCAATTATCGCTCCATTGAAATATGTGAGATATATATCCGAGCGGTACAAAGATCAGAAAATAATTGATCCACGAAGATTTAAGTATGATCACAATAGATTCGCGTAGAGTTGGCGAAGGTGAGGAAGTAAACGGAGATGGTGACTTGTGGAAGCTATACGTGTTTTCGTTTGTCGTCGAACCATATCCCAAAGCCATATCGATATTCGAAATTTTATTAATCAAAAATATCGCGATGCATGATTTATTTATAATCGCGGTGGTATTGATTTTTTTGAGGTCTATTACTCTGACAGAGTGTTATCTCTTTAGCCACGTCAGATAGAGCTTCGTTGATAATCCTATTCAGGGCGTAAGTGCGTGTCAATTCAACCTCCTGAAATTCGTCAAATGAACTAAAGGAGTCAAGAGTTGACCAGATCCGCATGATCTGTATAATATTGTATTGTTTCTTCGAATACGCGCTTAGGTTGTATTTGGTGAAAAAATAGACTTCTGCTAATAACCGTCTTGATCGAATCGATCAACCCCCCTTGATGCGCCACGGATGTACTTTCAATCACATGTCATGAACTGTTATCTTCATTTTTGCAAGTTAATTTAAGTGCCAAGAAAAGTGCGTGTTTTATTGGTAACATCATATCTTTCTATCTTATAACCATAAAAGTAAATCGGAAATATTTATTTATCAAGTAACTTGTTGATAATTTGTCGTTTTTGCAAATTAGTTCTAATTCATCATCGTACGATTGTTAGTTGATCTTTCTTGTCAAACAATGGAAACTTCTTCTTTTGGATTATTGGTTACCTCGGAGACTTTGTGAGACATGATTGAGCGTAGAAACAATTTTTTTATTCTCGAATTCTCAAAATTGGAAATGAATGTGTAATACAAAATTTACATTTCGTCAAATCTTATATTTACATAGTAAGGTGCTACTTCTATAAAATGCAGGACGACTGCAAATTCTGGCGGGCAAAATGAGTCTATGTTACTTTAGTAAATACATCGTTATCAATGCGTATTTCGCTCGTTGCTCATCGCTTGAACTGCATAGACCTATGCTTCTTAAAAAAAAAATCGTCTCTTTTTACGATGGTGACATTCATCTAAAGTGTTCGAAGAAGAAAATCTAATCTGGAACGGTTAAAAGTGATCTAGATAACATCGTTTTTAACCTTAGTGAGTTCAAATCTTCCGATAGTTCTATACCCACGAATGCCATTGTCGTGAAAAATTTCAATTGGTTCGGAGATAAGTCTGCCGGGTCATAATTCTTCCATGTCATTAACAGGTATTAATGGAAGTACAGCAAGGAACAAAGAAAAAAACACGATAACGTTTTTCTGATTATTACGCGATTTATAAAGATAAAGCTGATAATAAGACAGATATAGCATTGAATCCTCCAAAATTGAATTCATCAGTTACAGTATAATGCCAATTCCATATTATCCAATAGGTTCCTCAAGATCTTATCACGAATGCTGATTCTGGGTTGATATTACGTACTTTCGCGGTTTCCAATTATTTTTCCAAGATCACATACAGTATATTATGTCATTACAGTACCTGTACTAATTCTTTATTATTTCTTTCGTGTATAGTGAAATCGGAATAAAAACTTTTATATGCTAATATACCATTGAACTTAATGATTTCGAGCTGCTTTGTATGTTACACCAAAATATAGTGTATCAAATATTTTACATTCCGATGATTGAGCTCCTTTAGCAATTAAGTATGACCTTAGACTCTAAATCCTGTATACTATGAAAACACAACAGGATCTTTGAAACATCAGGATATATTCCGTTTCAGCTTGCTTGCCTTGGATTTCTAACAAAAAAATTTATTTACATTATACCACAAACCTTTCATAGCTTAATTAAAATTATTTTTAAATCCAAAGACACACGTGATAAAGTGAGACTTTAGGAATATTGAGCCATTCTTGGATTAAAAAATTCCTTAATTTTCTAATCGCGGAATTGTAATGGAAGAATTTCAGGGATTAATCAACTCAAGTTTTTCCGGTTGTAATTCTATACATTCATTCTTCACGTTTCTTTTAATTAACGAAAATGCAAGTCAGCTTGCAAACAGTATGACGAACTTTTGACATATAATTTTCTTTGTAGTCTTATCGTGAGCAATGGCTACATCCAAATATATTCAAAGTTCCCGACGTCGGGATGGCCATTCTAGGCATTAGTGATTGGACTCATAATAACTCGTAACTCATGAATCAAAGCTTAAAAGAGTACTCGAATTATTCGAATAATATAA